ATATATATATTGCCTTGCCCACTCCTTTTTGGTTTGATCTAGGTGTGGTATCTTTGTAATAGTTATCTCCATCCTGGTGGTTAGGAGGAAGTGGACAGGAAAAGTATAATCAGATAAGGAGAAACCACCACAGGCTTCATGCTTATATAAAGTTCATCCTCACTAGGAAAGGAGGAAACAACTCTTAGTACAGAGGAACAAGAGATGTTTTAGGAAATTCTAACTTCTAAGAGAAGCCCAGAAATGGCAGCAAACAATGATTGTGGCTACACTAGATACTTTTAGTGCCAAGCACTTTTCCTTCATCCTCTCTGCTCCAGGTCTTACCTAAGGTTTGTGTATTATACTTGAGCCTGATTTTAAAATCCTGTAGCTCAGTATCTTCAGTGCTTGTTACAGTCTTGGATCAGGAGCTGACCAAATGCCACCCTGACCAGAAGCCCTTGCTCCCATCTCCTCCTAATTTTAGAAGTCTTAGCCTGTATTTTTATGGTTGTCTTGTTGTTGAGCACAACTACAGGTAGATTTGACCATCTTGGCAAAGGCAGTAAGGTCATCAACGAGAGCTCAGGGTTTCTCCATCAGTAATAAATGACAGTTTACTTGATAACCATTTTCTTTAAAGAGGGCAGCATTATAGATTTGGAAACAAATGAATTTGAGGGGGCTAGAAACTTGGTTTACAGTGTGACTCTGTAAACTCGGTGTGGTTTGTTAAGCCAAATTCTCCTTTTTAAAATGTATATAAAATTCAGACCCCTTCAGATTATTTTATGAATTATAGTGTTATGGTTCAGATATAGTATGGCCCCCTAGAGTTTCATGTGATCAGAGTTGGAGCTTTTGGAAGGTGATTGGATTATGGGATGTGATAGCTGCATTGCTGTTAGGTGGGACCTGGTCAGAAAAGGTGGTTCACTGGCAACCTGACCTGGAAGGTATATCTCCCTATCCACCTTGTGGTTCAGAAGCCCTTGGGACTGGTTCTTGGGAGGAGTTTTGAAAGGTTTGGAGATGCCAGTTGGAAAAGCCCAAGAATACTGTAAGCCAAGCTTGATCGGTGATACTGTCAGAACTCAGAAGACAAGAATGCTGACAGAAATGCAGACAGTAAGGATCAGTTTCAGGAGGTTTCATTTGGAAATAGTCCCATAGTTCACTGGAGATTGGAACAGAGACCATGTGTTATGCTCTGGCAGAAAATTTGTCTACATTTTGCCTATGGTCTAAGGCTTTGCAGGAGGTTAAGATTATGGTGGCAGACTAATCTGACAGAAAATTTCAAAGCAGTCTAGTGTTCAGGCTGTGTCATGAGTACTGATTGCTGCTTCTAAATAGATCTACAGTAAAAATCAGGAACAGATGGCAGAGCCAAAAGATATAGAAGCTTCCCAATTTCATTAGAAAGGCAATATCTGCAAGTGAGGCCTTAGTAAACATGGTTGATAAAAGGATTAGCATTGGAAGCAAGCCTAGTATTTTGTATCAAGGCAATAGGAAGGATGCCATGAAGGCATTTCAAGAAACAGCAAAACTGTACCATTTGCAGGCTCAGAGTTGTAAAACGATAAAAGTAAACTCCTTTGAAAAACTTTACTTTGAGAAGAGAATGCCAGGGAACCCTGCTTGAAAGGAGCCACCTAGGGAATTGGCTCCCTAGGATTTGGTTCACAGTGTTCAGTCATCCAGACACACAAAGGTCTCTGGAGCCATGACCCAAGGAGGTTTGTCTACTGCTTGAGCTGGTGGAAGACCCTGGCATCATCCATGTGGTGCTGGTTATACTTATCCAAAAACACAAGCAATATACAGTCATAGAGGTTACCATTCAGATTTCAGAAGGTCTGTGAAGCTAAGCAGTGTTTTGATTAGAGGGCAGTATATGAAGTTGTGAGAGTGAAGGCAAAAGGGCAGCAGAGACCTCAAGAGTTTGAAGATATCAGGAATGTGGAATGTCTGCTAAGAAATGCTATAGGCAGTGAGTGGAGCCACCACAAGAGAAAGACCCTTAGGGGTACAACCAACAATTTTATAGGGGCAGGGCCACCTAAGGCATTTGGAGCTCACATGTAACCACAACTCCCTGAGTGCTGTACACAGATGTATAGGATTTAATGTTTTCCCCACTGGGTCTCTTGTCTTGCTTTGGTATGATTCCTTTATATCCCCCTATTACTCCATTTTGGAATGGGACTGCTTACCCTGTGCCATTGTACGTTAATGTAACTTTCTTTTTTATTGTTGTAAGGGTTCATAGCTAAGAGTTTATCTTACGTCTCAGAGAAGTATTTGGTCTTCAACTTTTTAGCAATGCTGGAACTAATAAGACTTTAGCAACTCTTAGAGATGGACTAAATGCATTTTTCATGAAGAGATGGACATGCATCTTTAGAGGTGCAGGGACAGAATGTCATGATTAATCTAGAATATTAGCCAAGAGCTTCATGTGTTCTGAGGTGGGGATTTTGGAAAGTGAGTTATAGCTAAATGTGTTGTTAGGAGGTAGGGCCTGGTCAGAAGAGGCTGGTCACAGAGGACATAACCTGGAAGAGTGTATCTCCTTCTCTATCTCATCCCTACTTTCTCTGCTTCTTGGTTACCTTGATAGAACAGCTTTTCTCCACTATGCCCCTCTACTGTGTTCTTTCTACCTTTGAACTAGCCAAGCGCAGACAGAAAACATGAACCAAAATAAACCTCTCTTCCTTTAAGTTGTGGGTGCTGGGCATTGTACTAATAAAAACACTTAGTTATCTGGTGAAGTTGTTTAGTATAATATCCAACAAAATTGTAAGCACTCAATGACTGTCAGCTGTTACATATGAAGGATTACCTACTGACAGGTTGATTAATTTATGGGCTTATTTCAAAAATGAGCAGTGAATTTATTGAATAAAGTTTGAAAGATGCTAGGAATGAAGTTACATTCTTTTTGTGTTGAATTTCAGATGTGCTGGTGAAGAATTCTTGACAATCCAGGGCATCGATCTCTCACCGTTGGGCTTGTGGGTGAATCTTCTGGGTTTGGCTTCAATGATGATTTTCTTTCTTATAATTACTTTCCTAAAATTGTTAGTTCTTAAAAAACATTCTTGATCTAACCTTAAATTTATTATGAATTATCATCATATTAAAAAGGGCTCTTTGAGTTATGTTAAATCCAATAAAGATTTTGTGTTGTCTGAAGTTCTTTTGTTCACCAACTATCATTTTAAATAGAACTATTTACTAATGTCACAACAAATTGAATTGTATGTGGAAGAACTCAAGCCAAAACCTAATGATATTATGTATGGTGTATAAGTTTATCTTATCAGACAATAACCAGAGAAAACAAATCTAGTCTAATTTATTGACCTGAAAAAGGAGAATTGAATTCTGGAAACACATAACAAGTTGCTAATATCATTGGTATCAGTTTCCTCATCTTTCAAATAAACAGGAGGGCTAGTTACCCTCCAGTCTATGAATCTATAATCTGCTGTTATGGTTTGTGCCTAGATGTCCTGCCAAAGATTCATGCAGTCATAGGTAGGGCTTTTTCAGAGGTGGCTGAATCCAGAGTGTGTGATTGATTCATGGTGCAATGCTAGGATTAAGGGTGTTAGGATTAAAAGTGGGTGATTACTAATCATTCCATTGATTGGTTTGGCATTGCCTTAATCCCAGTATGGTAGATACAGTATAAGGGACAGAAAGAGGCTTATCTTGTCCTTTACTCACTTTGCTGCTTTCTGCCTGCCATGAACTGTTTCTCCTCTGCAATGCCTGTCTGCCATGGCACATTGCCTTGGAGCCAGCTGAATATGGACTGAAGCCTCTACAAACTGTGAACTAAATAAACATTTCTTCTTTTAACTTAGGGTGTTGGATATTTTGTCTGTGCAATAAGAAAATAACTAAGATACCTGCCATTGTTTGAGAAGTGACAAATGTATTAATGCTGTATTAGAATGATGAAATCTAAACTATGTTACAGAAACCTGTGTTATTTCAGGAATAAAACAAACAAAAAAAACAAGTCATGATGTTAGAAAAAAAAGTCTTTGATAAACTTCATTCATAGAGGGCCGGGGATTTAGCTCAGTGGTTTCGCCGCCTGCTGCGCAAGCACAAGGACCCGAGTTCAATACCTGGTACCAAAAAGAAAAAAAAAACTTCATTAATAGAACTTACTAATACTTCTGTTTTTGGAATTGTAATATCCCAGGATTCTTAACTGGGACTGTAGGCTTCAGGTGGAACAGAGGTCAAGCATTTGGTAGTTTAGCTCTTGGGCCATTTGTGGGACATTCTGGTTCTGAAAAGTCACTTCACCATCCTGGGACAGTGTAACGTTATATAATCTGTGTATCAATATCCCCTGAGGAACTTGGCTGAGACACTGCTGTCTGCATTTTCCCTCATCCCAATGGAATAAAACCTGCCGAGACACCTCCAGGGAGAACGGACCACTGCTGTACTTGCTGATTCTTAAGGTGGTTTCCAGTTCTGAAAATGTTAGATGAATGATTTAATAATTGTTATAGTGGTTTCTACTATGTTCCCCCTATATGTGCACCTCATTTATTTACCCATGGTCTCCTTATTCTTTACAAGTAACAGGGAAATATTTTACCCATATTACAGAAGTGTTTTTAAACTTCTTTTTTGTGAAAGGGAAGTGTAACAAAAAGTATAGTTCATTGAATTACCATATAATGAAGACATATGTGCAACCATAATTCCAGGTCAAGAAATGGAGCATGACCAGAAGCCCCTCATACCCCTCTTCCAGTCACTGCTTCCTCCTGTTTCCATGGATTGTTTCTGAAGTGACACTTGTGTGTTCCTGTCTGTTCCTCTTTTCAGAGCATCACTCAGCTCAGTTTTGAATTCTTATTTGCACAGGTAGAGACTTAGGTTTCCTTTTCAGTTTTTAATAAACATAATTTTTGAATAATTTTAAATTTAGAATCAGGTTGCAAAGATATTGTGAAGAGTTCCTGTGTGCTGTTTGCCCAAATTTCCTTCAAGTTAAGTTACTATATGATACATATGAATCAAGACATATTGATCAAAGATAAGAAAATATCAGTGGGACATTACTGCTAATGAAATTGCACACTGTATTCATATTTTACCCACTTTTTGACTAACATTCTTTTATTGTTTTGGGAATCAATTTAGAAGATCCAAAATTGCATTTGGTTTCCCTTTTTAAAAGCAGTATTTCCAGAAATTAAGAGTTGGGGAACCACCAGATGTTGCTCCCCTTGATGTCATCATCTTGGTATATCATTTCTCTGGTCAGCAGTGTTATATTATTGTAATATGAATCTGTGGATACAGCTTTATATTTTTATCTTTGAACTTTAAGGAAAATTTTTTTCTTTTGATGACATTTGATTAGTCCATTATCTCATAATATATTATCTGTTTTTCTTGGTTATTATATGAATATCAAAGTCAGTATTTCCTATTTATGGTTTAATTTATATTTTTTACACAACAATGACTTAAAATTCCCTGGATACATATTTCTTCATTAAACAGAGACAGATTATATCTATAATTTATGGACAAAATGTACCTACCAGAATATATGAAATGGCCAAAATTTCTAATACTTACTTTTTAAATTATTAAGAGTATAAATATATCTTGTTATATTTTTCCTCCTTTTGCAAGATAATTGCCTTTTATGTACTTTTTGTTATAGCAAGAAGCACACCAAAATTTGTCATCTTATCTATTTTTTAATTACATGTTTCAGATGCTAATGAACATTTTACAATGAGTGAGTTTATTTTCCATAAGATGAAAAGCAAAAGGTTAGCTTTTAGAAATTTACTTAAAACTATGTACATATTGTTATGAATTTTAAATTTTTTCTTGTGTGTCAAAATTAGGAGCAGGCCAATTAATTTGCTTTAAAATAAAAGGAACCGCAGGGATATATAAATGCTGGTTGCTATTTATATTCTAGTTACTCCTTCTTGACTACAAGATTGGTGCTAGGGAGGGCTCCTGAGTATGTTGTGAAAGGAAGAAAGGAAAGATAGATTTGAAAGAGGAAATACACATACCTCTTGTCCTGTCTTTGGAACAATTTTCCATGAGCATTATACAGAACATGGATTTTATTAACGTCAACAGAATCTATTTACTATTTATCATTAATCTGAAAAGTAGCATTACTCATTTATGCAATATTTTTTCCTAGTCCAGTACTTGCTCTATGGACTTTAGAAGTGAATTGTGTAGGCAGCAGAGATGGAGGCTGTAATTTGGTCCATTGATAACTTCAGCTGTCACCAAGGCTGCTCTTTGGACAGCCACTGTTGATGTTTGAGCTGTCAGCAGCCAGGACTAATGCTGAGTTCTCAGTGTGGTCCTGCCCTTTAAGGAGATTAAACTAGCCTGAAACTTGTGGCAAATAATTATATGCAGTAATTGAATGATTGTCCCTAATGTCTGTGGAGATCACTGCTTTGGGCTTTAAGTCATAATGGAGGCAATGACTTTATAGAAATGTTTTGGTATTTCTCTAGGCTACTTTTGGGCCTTTGAGGGCAAAATAATTTTGAAAAGACTGCTGTGGTCTACAAAGCCTAAAGTATTTATAAACTGTCACTTTATATAAAGTTTTCAGACCCATACTAGAGATCAATAGGGCCTGTTCCTATTTGGAATACTCAGGTCCATAAACCAAGGAATATTGGCCTCTGTCCTTACCAATTTTATTAACTAAACTGTAGAATTTATACTTCCTCTCTGTAGCTGTAGGCCCTGATAGATTAGAGTTCCTGAATCCTAAAGAGCAGGAAGCCATGTCCTGGTGGAAATTTGGTAAGGGTTCCAGTGAATCTGATAGTTTCTGCCACTTAGTCTCTTTGGGATTTCCACACTGATGGAGCAGCAGCAAAGAAAGGAGTTAAAATATTGGTCTAGTAGCCCAGTTAGAAAACCTGTCACTTCCAGACCCTGAGTTCAGAATAAATTGTGAGGGACAGTTATATAAATAAGGAGGTGTGCCTTAATATTCCACTCACTGGTGGTCCTGCCTTCACTCTAGGGATTGTATCTGTGCTGGTGAGGATGTGGCTAGAATCAGAGTCCTTGTGCATGTGCTGGAACTGTAGACTGTGCAATCACTAAGAGGGAAGCCTCAGAAATCTGAGAAAAAGTGTTTATACATTTGAATCTCAGCATAATCACCCTATTACATACACAGAGGAACTCATGGGAAGTTAACAAGAAATTACACATGTGCAAAGATTTTGACATGGAGGCATTAGAGCCAACTCTTCATTGAAGGAATGGATAAATATTTTGGCTGCAGTTAACACATAGTCATCAGAATAACTTACCAGAGATACATTATATAGAAGAATTACAACTTAATGACATAGTAGAAAAAAGGGCAAGATCCTAGTATAGTTGCCTCAATCCACTTGTTCAAACACATAAACAGGATTTATTTCTCTTCATATTGAAAATTATTGGAATGAATATTTTATGAAGAAAAAAGTAAATACTAAATAGTCTAAATGAAGAAGAGAACATAGTAATGTTTGGTAAAATGCACAAAACATTTATTGGGTTTGATAATGACAAGCATGCACAACATACTTAAAAATATAAATTGTTATACATAAAAGTTACTGTCAGAAATCTTAGTGGTAGCAAAAAAAATGAATTAACAATGAAACTCCTTAGGTTGATAAAAAGATTTTGGACCAATTTTTCTTCATCACATTTAAAAAAGAAATATTAAGATAAAATGGGACAATTAAGGCTTTTATGAAAATGCTTTCATTTTGAACTCAAAATGAATCTTGGAAGATTTCTTTAGTGAATTAAAAAATCATGCACATTGACCTAATGGAAAGCAAAAGCATTTTGTTTGGTTAAAAAACAGATAGGAATGAAACAAGGCATTCAAATTATTATATGTTTTAGATGTGTTTCTAGTTTTTTAAAATTCAAAGCCTTTACTCAGGATAAAATGCAAGAACTAATAATTTTTCCATATCTGGAACTGCACATTCATTTCAATAGTATGCTCAGACTTATCTGATAAATTTAGACTGATCAGGGTAAATAATAAAAGATTGTTAAAAACATTACCATAAACCATTCAAGAAATCTTTTTAGAGTTGAAGTTTATGGACAGTTGGCATTTCTGGGAACACTGGCCACCT